ATTTGCATTTCGTGGATGGCTAGTGATGTGGAGCAGTTTTTTATATATTTATTCACTTCTTTAATTTCAACCTCTGAGAAATGTGTGTCCATCTCAGATGCCCATTTCTGGACTGAGCCTTTAAACTTTGGGGCCCTAGTGTTTTTTAGTTCTTCATAAATTCTAGAGAGCAGACCTTTGTCTGAGTACTTATTTGTCATGATTTTTTCCAAATTTGTTGGTTGTCTTTTCACTTTTTTGGTAATTTCTTTTGAAGTGCAAAAACTGTTCAATAAGAGCATGTCCCAGTTATTAATTCTTTCTAGTGTTTCCCGTGTGATTTGATTTTTGTTCATGAACTCTTTGCCAACCCTATGTCTTCAAGAGTTCCTCCTACTTTCTCTTCCAGGAGATTTAGTGTTTCTGTTTTAATGTTTAGATCTTTTCCATTTTGACTTTAACTTAGTGCATGGTGATAGACCTGGGTCAAGTTTTAGTTTTCAGCATGTAGAGAGCCAGTTTTTCCAGCACCATCTGTTAAAGAGGCTATCTTTCTTCCAGTAAGTATGTTTCACCCCTTTGTCAAAGATAAGGTGGCTGAGTGTGTTCATAGGGGCTTCAGCATCTTCTAATCTAGTCCATTGATCCAAGCCTGAGACTCCTCAAATAAAATGTTGATGTTTTTCTACCAAGACAACCTAACTGTCTCATTGGAAGTTCCTGAAATGCTAGAGTCTGGGGTCCATTCCTTATGTCCACACAGTTTCTCCAGAAAAGAACTTCCCATTTCTTCCCAACTCAACACTGGCAGGAGCTACGATGACTATCAAAGTTCTTGAGGACAGGTTTGCAAAAGCACCACAATCTCACCATTTCATAAACACTTGGCAACCCTGAGCCACCACTTTTGCATAGCCAGGAAACTGAGCATGTGGAGAGAATCAGGCTCAGCCTCTGGGCAGACACCCCCTCAACCTGCTCTGGGCAGGAGATGAGGCAGGAGCAGCCTCTGTGGTCCAGGCCTCCACATACCAACCTTCAAATCTCCCTGCATTCTCATCCGCCTGTGGCTACCCCTTCTCCTTGGTAGCTGGTTGTATGAGCTGCAGTAACTACATGCCACACAATGAGCATGTTCACAAAGCCATAAACTCATTGTCTTATAAGGCTGTGGACGAAAGGTCCCATCATGATGTTGGCAGTGTTGGCTGTGAGCGGAGGGCTGTGAGTGCAAGATGCCAGTCACACTCCGCAGAGCCAGAGGACCCAGCTGAGGGTCGAAGCTCACTTCCATGTCGACTCAAGTCCAGCCCAGAAAGCCACAGGCTCTGTGCTAAAGAGGCCACCCTGGAAGCCGAAAGGAATCAGAGGTGAACATGCAAAGGCAATGTCCAGAGCTGCTCTGAAGAAGAAAGAGAAGATTCCCATGGGTCCAGGTACAAGGCTGCCGGCCAGTGCCATCCTCGGCAAGGCTGGGTCTCCCCTCCTTCAGTCATGCACTGACACACGTAGGGCTTTACTAATCACCAGGTGGGTCTCCCTGAGCCAAGTAGGCCCATCGTAAGACAGGCAGGCCTGGAAATGAGTGTGCCAAAGGAAAAAGCCTGTGCTCACACAGCCCTAGGCAGAGGAGCCGCGGTGGCCTAATCAGTCCAGTGCTGCTAAAACAGAATGCCACAGGCTGCGAAGCCGCTAATAAACAGAAATTTACTTTTTACAGATTAGCAGGCTGAGCAGTACAAGGTTGAGGGCTGGGATCTGGTGAGGGCTTTGCATTCCCCTGTGGCAGGACAAGAGGTAAGAGGGAGGCGGGGGAGAAAGGCAGGCTGCACTGCTCCTCTTGTAGGACACCTACTGCCATGGTGACTGCACTGACCCACTCAAGAGCGAAGACCCCTCCTTAGGCCCTCCTCCCAGCACTGTCACACTGGGAAGTGTGTTCCCACACCTGAGTTTTAGGGGCATACTTGAAAGGAGAAGGAGAAAGGGGAGGAGGAGAAGGAAAAGAAAGAGGAGGAGGAGGAGAGCAGGAGGAGGAAGAGAAGGAGGAGGAAGAGAAGGAGGAGGAGCAGGAGGAGGAGCAAGATAAGGAGGAGCAAGAAGAAGAAGGGCAGTAGGAAGAGGAGTGGGAGGGTAGAAGGAAGCCCAGGAGGGAGTGGGCAAGGCACCATGCTATGTTGAGTAAGCTCAGCAGGACCCACTTCAGTGACTCTGGACTATGAAGGGCTTCTAGCTGCTTGGGACCTGAGTGGGCCTGGGTGGTGGAGGACATGGCAAATATGGCTCTGGGGTAAGTCCGAGGAAGGGGCTGGGCTGGTGTTAGTTGGTTCAACTATTAAAGGAGAGTTTGTATATTTCTGGGCAGTCACTTGCTGTCTCTCAAGAATTAAGTAGCGTGGGAGAGCTGGTCTCTCCTGGATCATGCAACAAAGGCCAGAGCATCAAGCCTCAGAAAATAAGAAAATACAGTGTACAAGCGCACACATGTACACACACACACACACACACACACACACACACACACACCAGACTTAGTGCACAGCTTCCAAAGGTCTGCTCGCCCCTCTTACACTTCCACATGCTTTGCCTTTCCTCCCATTGCTTTTGCTTTTTTGAACCGTAACCTTTTCAGTAATTGTAGTAGGATTCAAAGAATAGGCAGAGATTAGACTTAGGCTTTCAGTCTGCCTCATCCAGCTTGAAAACACTGACGTCCCCTGGAGCCCTGAGCAAGCCCACGAGGACTGCGCTACCGCTAAGCCGGACCTCTGTGCCATCCAGCTGTGCTCTCGGGATTCCAAATGGCTAAGCTGCATGCCCCGGGTCCTCCTCCTCCTGAAGGCTGTGCTCCCCTGCCTGCATGGTACATTTAGATTCCATGCCTAGAAGGAGGCTGTCTCTTTAAAAGAAAAAAAAAAAAAAAAGCTGCCAGTGACCTTCCCTGGGAACGGGTTGCTAAGCTGGTGTTTCTACCCTAGGATTTGGCCGGGCTTCCCAGGGAGCAGCCCTGGGTCTCCCCTTCATCCCGCCCTTCCCTCCAGACTTGAAGATTCAACAGTACAACTCTGCCTCTCATCCTAGAAAGCCAGCGGCATCTGCAAAGTGCCTTTTGAAGAGTTTCTTAAGGTAAATCTCTTTTTAAGGGGACCAGGGCGTGGCAATGGTTTCCTGATTTCTGTTACTGGCATGGAGACTGACCTCTCCTGAGTAGGCAGACAGTGGACTGAAGGAACTGTGACAGGGTTCTTGCTTGCATTTTCACGCTCTGAAATGAAAACACAGAGCGTTGCTCAGGCAGCTTTAATTTGAGCTGCGTCTGCCTGGCAGGAAATGTCAATCTGACTTGTCACAATCCCAGAGTGGGAATCCTTACCCAGCAGCCCTTTGAGCAGCCGGCTCCGCCTGCTGCCTCCAGGAGCCTCTTACAGTGAACTGGTTTGAGGGAAGAAGCATGGCTCACTGCAAACTGCACTTTCCTGTGCGTAGGGCAAAGACAGTGCTCCAAACCACAGGGCTGAGGATGCAGGGGCCCCAGGAAACCTGGGAAAACCTCCTGGCTGTGGCTTAAGTCAATCGTTCCTCTTCTTTGGCAAGAGGGGCTGTGAAAAACATTGATAAACTCAAATGGGAAATACACGTCCATGATCGTTTTTTAAATAAACTTTTCTGCACGTAAATCCAGAGCCAGAATGAAAAATCTGGAGCTCATTTATGGAGCGTCAGCAGTGCGGCAGGCAGTGTGCTTCTATTTAGAGTGTGCAAAAATGAATTAGGCCAGGTCCGAAATGGGTTTGCTGGGAATACAGCTCCATAATCCGATAATAACAGCACGATGACCTAAGTGCCACAAGGGATTTATAGCAGGGCCTGCAGCACTTGGAGTACAGCAGGGCTCCTTCCAGAGAGGGGCGGTCAGCTCTTACTCCATCCTGTAAATAGGTTGGCTCCGGACCGCACTGCATAGTGCAACTATAGCTTTATACGCACCCTTCCAGGGCAACAAACGTGACGCGTGTCTGATTCTGGAGCTCTCCAATGCTATTTGTCACTAGCCTTTCACTACAGAAAGCTGGGACTGAAATAACTTATAGAATTAGATAATACACACGAAACAGACCATGTGTGGTATCTGCTAAGGTCTCTGAGACTGAGGAAGACGGACAGGAATGTGCGCTCCCGACAGGAGCTCCAGACGCAGGGAGAAAGTGTGGGAGAAAGCGGGGATGGAGAAGAGGTGGGGAGTCTCCAATGCACCACAAGGAAACAAACGGAAAAGCTCTGGGCCTGGCTGGAGGGAGGCAGGTGGAGATAGGGCTTGTAGGGTGCAGGTTGGGTGGGAACTAAAGAGGGGCTTAAATGTCCCACAAGACTTTTCTTATGACTCCACTCACACCCCCAGTTGTTTTCCCTCCTCAGCCCTTTCTTTCACGTGTCCTTTCCCTGTGTTTCTGTCTGTCCGTCCTCCTTCTCTCTTTCTCTCTCCCTCCCTTTCCTCCTTCCCTCCCTCCCTTCTTCCCTCTCTCTCTTTCTATCTCTCCCTCCTTCCCTCTGTCCTCTCTCTGTCCCTGGGGATTGACCTCAGGGCCTTCATACTGACCTACATCCCAACCCCTTTTTATCTTTACTTTTGAGTCTTGCTAAATCACCCAGGTGCTGCATTAAATTTGAGATCCTCCTGCCTCAGCCTCTCAGAACCCTGAGATTACAGACATTCACCACCACACGCAGCTTCTTCTTAGTAATGAAACCACCGAAATAGAGAAGCTGGTCCGAGCTAGGCACTTTTCCTGCACATTTTGCATCACAGAGGTTCTATAAACTAACCACCTTTTGAAATAGTACGACAACAATTTTACAGAGAGCTGTTCACAGAGAAGATGGCATGTGATGGCTCCAAAATCATGTCTCTGATAAATAAAGCTGGAATTTGAACCCTGGACCATAAAAATTTTAACCAAGTCCTCACTGTTTCCATAAGTGCCCGATTTCATTGTAACTCTGCACAAGGCTTTAAAAGGCCTGAGCTACATTGTGCAGAATGCTGCTTCCCTCTACACCTCCACCCCTTTCTGCTGTCCCTGTGGGTGTCCTCACTAATCCCCCTCTAGCTGAGGCTCTGATCTATCCCTCACCCTGTTGTTCAGATGAAGGCATCCCTGCTTTGCCTGAAACTGTATTTTTTTTCTCCCCTGACCTGGCATAGCCTAAGCCTTTCCTACTGCATAGTGCTTCCGAAGTTTCCAGGTGTAAATACCTCCGGAGTCACCTAGGGCAGAATGGTCGCTGGTGACCACGCAGAATCAAGACTCCCATGAGGGCGCCGAGGAGTGGGAGGGCTTCGGGCTCGCAGTGTGGACGTCACAGCTGACTGACAGTTCATCGCTCTGACCTTGCACAAACTGCACAGCCGTCAGAGGCCCGTCGCCTCGTACATAAGTGGGGCGGTACTGCTCAGCGAGAAGTGTGGAGGGGGCAGAGAGAGCACACCTCAAAAGACCGCGCAACCAGGCACGCGGGAGACCCGTCTCCTATTTGGATGTTGCCAGTAAGAGCAGATTGACAAGTGCCCCGGAAAAATGAGGGTGATGGTGGCTTGGTAAAGTGGAGTCGGGCCGATTTATCTTTTCTTAGCTATAGTGTTCAGAAGAAAAATAAATTTTGGTGTCATTTCATTTCCTTAGAAATTCATTCAAAGGTAATGATCAGGAAAAAATGGAGAGAAAAGGTAATTCTGCCACATTTGTCATTTCCTAATTCTATTTTTTCCTTCTCTGTAAGATTTTTTTTAATTTATAGAGAGGCATTCTTTACTTACTAAAATATTTTCCAGTTTTTTCCTTCTGTTTTGTGGTGGCCAGAGCTGTTTATTAGAGAACTTGGCTTCCTCCATATCTCTCAGTGGTCCTCTCTAGGTTTCTTCTCCCCTCTTTATTTCCCAGTGGGCTTCGCTTTTTGTCCTTCTTCTATCTGTGGAGGCCCCTGTGGAATACAGTGGGCTTTCAGATGCTTCACTCCCCTTTAAGGTGCTAATTCCCCAGCAGGGTCAGGGAAATGCAGAAGGCCACAGATGAGCTGTTTTTTGTTTTGTTTTGTTTTGTTTTGTTTTTTGCAGTACTGGGAATTGAACTCAGGACCCTGTGCTTGCCAGGCAAGCAGTTATTCTACTGAGCTATCTCCCCAGCCAGAGTAACATTTGTCCTTCCCTGTTGCCCTGAATGGGGAGCTCTGTGCCCATTCAAGTTGTGGTTCAAGTGTGTCCCCCAAAAGCAGGTGTTGGAAACACACTCCCGCAGTGCAACAGCGCTGGGGGAGGGCCTGAGGAGGGGCTCTTCCCTCCTGAGTGGGTCAGTGCCGAGGCCGTGGCAGTGGGCTCCCTACAAAAGAAGTTTAATCTTTCATCTAAGGTCTGGATTCCGTATTAGGCATGACTTAGATGGTGTCAGCCCTGTGTCCAGAATCTGTCTCTTCTCCCACTGAATCTTCATAGCCACCGAGAGAGGACAAGATGCTTTAAGAGGTTCCCAGAGCAGGACCACAGGGACACGGCCAATAAGTAGTCATCGGGTCATTCATTTGATAAGCGTGTGTTGAGTGTCTGTTGTGTGCCAGGGTCCAGGGCCTCAGGGTCAGCAATGAACAAAGCCCTGTCCCTGCACTCAGGGAGCTGTGTGACTGACGGGCAGAGACCCACAACTACCTGCAAAGGCTGACTGGCAGTAAGTCCTGTGCGAAAGGACATTGATCGCTGTAAAGTACTAAGAGAGCTCCAGGATGCTGGAGAGAAGTGATTACTGTCCTCTGATGCTCAGGAAGACCTCACTGAGGAAATATGAGCCCCTCAGGGAGCGGAGGCTGTGAAAGAAAGACAAAGAGTTATGCAGACAGCTTGGGAAAGAGCACTCCAGGCGGAAGAGACAGTTCAGTACGTAAGTCCTGAGGCGGAAGGTCAAGTGCAAAGTTGACAGGGCCTTGCAGGACCTAGAAAGCAGGTTGTGTTGGCCCCAGGTGGCTAAGCACTGTCTCCGGAGGATTCTGGTGGAAAGACTTGATCTAATTTAAATCTTCAGCCATTCGCTCTGGCTTCAGCGAAGGGAATACTGCAGGCGAGCCACGGAGGAAGCGGAGAAATGCGATTCCTCAGGTCACCTGCAGGGGAGAAGTTGGCGCTCGACCAGGGCGTGAACAGAGAAGGCCCTTTCATGAGTAGCAATGAGCCTGAGTACAGTATACAGCCAGAGCTGGCAGGATTTCAAGCATGAGGGTTGTATTCGTCCGGGTTCTCCAAAGAGATGAGCCAGTATGATAGAGCCTGGACTTCAGGAAAGGATCATAAATATCTAACACCCACAAGTTAAAGGAGGAACAGTTTCTTTTGCCCAGAGTTTGTAGCGGTTTTAGGTCATAGTCAGCTAACTCCGAGCAGGGCCACGTGGCAGAGGAGAGGAGAAACACTCGGTGGGCCGGTAGCCAGGGGCCAGTAGCCCCATCCTTCCTTCTTTCATTGGCTTTCTATTCCTTCCATCCGGGGTCCTGGCCTACTGGTTGGTGCTACGCACACCAAGCCAATCAGTAAATTAATCCCCTTATCATCGCCTTAAACCAGTGTCACACACCCGTGATCCAGCCTCCTCCCCAGAGCCTGTGAGCACTCGAAGCTTTAGGGGAACACCCAGGTACAAGCCGTAGCAGAGCCCAGCTCTGAGGGGATTGAGGGAGAGCGCAATCTACCCTCTGCGTGTGCTTTCCACGGGACTCCAGCTGAGCAGAATGTGCCCTGCATGCTGAGCACAGCTCTCCCCCTCTGACTCACACACTGACCCCCTTTGGAAACACCTGTACAGTTGCATCCAAAGGATGCCTTTCCTTGGGCCGGCCACACAGCTCAGTGGATTCAAGTGTCGCACGCAGGCGCAGGTCCTACATTGCCAGACCCGCCCCTGGGGCGCGCTGAGATGGCAATTGAGACTGGGCGTGGTGGTGCATGCCTGTAATCCTAGCTCTTGGGAGGCTGGAAAACAGGCGGATCACTACAAGTCTGATATAGTAGTAAGACCCTGAACACCCTGTAGACCCTTCCCTAAAATACAAAAAAAAAAAAAGGACCGCCTTTCCAGATGTGTCATTCCGCTTTCATCCAGGCACATTGGCACCTGCAGTTCCCCTCTGAAGATGTGCTACATAGGTAGAGGTGAGACAGAAGCTAAGATTTCTGGCCTGAGTAGACTGTATTTCTGCTTATGGGGGCAGGAAGACTACAGTGAAAACAGACCCAGGCTAAAAGTCGAGAACTGTGTCTGGCAATGTTGAGCACGTGATGGTGACCACCAGGTGGTGATGATGTTGGGTCCATCTGGAGTTCTGGGGAGAGGTCTGGACTCGAGATGTCAGGGCAAGAAGCACACAGCATGAGAAGCCTAGAGATCAGAGAAAGCAGGCAGGTTGGGCTGAACCCCAGAACGTTCCAGGGCTTGGTGTTGGAAGATGAGGTAAAACCACAAAGGACGCTAAGGAGCCACTGAGAAGCGGAGAGAACATCAGGAAGGAGCTTATCCTGGGAGCCCGGTGAGGGAAGCATTTGAAAAGGAAGTGACAGGCTGCTCTCAGGACTAATGGCTTCCTGTGCGGTCAAGGACACTGAGCACTGAGGTTATGCAGGTGCCATTAGACTCAGCAAGCACAGCTCTAGGGAGTGGTAGTCTCTTCCCTCACAAAATAATGAGTAGAAAGAGGGACTATTTTGAGGAATTTTCTATAAAGGCTGAAAAAAAAAAAGTAGGTAGCAGCTAGAAAGAAAGAGTCAAGGGCTGGGGAGATAGCTTAGTAGAATAAGCGCTTGCCTGGCAAGTGCAAGGTCCTGAGTTCAATCCCTGGTACCACAAAAGAAAGAAAGAAAGAAAGAAAGAAAGAAAGAAAGAAAGAAAGAAAGAAAGAAAGAAAGAGTCAAGAGAGAGATCTGGTTTTAAAGGAACAAATAAATCACAGCACTTTAACACTGATGGTCTGAGCACATGGAGCAGGAGGAGGTGACTGTCAGGCAATCCCTCAGAGTTGTCCACATCAGGGTCCCAGAGGAAGGAAGTGAGGGAGACCCAGAGACAGGGGAAGCAGCTGACTAGGAGGGAATACGTGAGCCCACAGCAGCAAGCGGAAAGAGGGAGACGGGATTCAGGGGTGGTCGGGGACATGAGGGGACTGAGTTTCTCTGGTCTCATCTCTCTGCTGAGTGAAAACCAAGGTCAAGAGTGAGGAGGGAGCGGGAGAGGGGAGTGGCTGGGGAAGGGATAAGCTGGGAAGGGACCCTTGGGGAGCTGCCACAGACGCACCCAGCGCCTTCCTTCTCCTGCAGAGCTCCCGTCTGGCTGGCCTGCAGGTGCTGTATTCCTGTGGACACAGTCTTCTCAGCGCACACACTTGGGCGACTGTCAAGATCAGCTTCATCTTCATTAATGGAAGAAGAATGACACTTCATTGATTTCAAAATGATGCCTTCATTGTTCTTTCTTTCTCTCTTTTGTGTCTGGAATCAAACTCAGGACTCGGCCCTTGCCAGGCTGGCACTGTGCCACTGAGCAATACAGCTGGCCCCAGTGTTCTTTCTTGTGGATGCATCAGAGCCAACATGAATCCTGAGGAAGAAAAAGTAAAAATAATTACAGAGGTAAGTGGTTGTTTACAGCCCCCTTGGAGCATGTATTTCTAGTGAGAAACTGAAGATGAACAGCAAGCATGAATTGCATCCGCTAAGCAAACCTTAGATAGGGCCAGCCAGATAGCTCAGCAGATTAAAGTGCTGGCTTGGGCAGACCTGGAGGCCAGGGGTTCAACCCCCTGGCATGCCGCACCAGCCCCTCTTAGATTAAATTTAACAGTGCTTAGTTGAACCAAGGACCATTCATGAGTCCGAGAGCACCACTCTGCTGTGGCCAGGCTGTCTTTAAAGAAGACAGAAGTGGAGAACCTGGAACAGTAGAACAGCTCGTTAGGTTCTGTGGCTCTGGGTTCAGAGCTCTGCGGTGCCTTCCCTGGTCCACTGACTGCCTAGGACGATGGGCACACAGTGCTGTGGCACGACGCAGGCTCCCAAGTGAGCCTATTACTTCACACACTAAGTTATGTTGCAGTTTGTCAAGGAAAGCCTCCAGGTACGGAGGCTTCCTAGGCCAAGTTCAGTTTCCAGGCATTCGTTATCAGGCACATGGCTGAGACAGTGAGGATGATACAGGCCCGTGGGCACCCCCAGCCGTCTTCTGCCCAAATGCTCTGGAACAAAGGCCCCTTGTCAGGAGCTGCACCACGCGGCAGCTCTGATTCCACCTGGTACTGGGCCACGCCTGCCTGAAGCAGAAGATTTCTCATCACCTTCAGTGTGGGCATCACCGCTGTAGGTCACATCAATTGCATCTGCTAATAAAACGCTCTCACAGAATTGCAACTTCTGACTCATGGTACACAAAAACTCACTAAAGCCCCACCCAGGCCCCAGAAGGAGAGCCACACGCAATCAAAACTGCAGACCACTGAGCAGAGGAGGAGCGGGCCTCTCTGACCTCACTACTCCCAGGGCTCCCTGGCTCTATACCAAAGACAAAAGCTGAGCTGTTTCCACTGGAAAGCTTCTGACGCACTCAGGAAGCACCTTATAAAAACCATACAGATTTACTTTAAGCACAGTACGGAGCACGCACAAGCCACAGGGATCTCTAGTAGCCTCCTGGTATACAAAACCCCCCTGTGCTGGCCCTCCAGTCCTGGGGAGTCCAGTGTGACCAAAGCCCAGGGCCCGCATGGAGCTTCCATTTCATTCCACTGCAAGTTTCACCAAGGGAATGGCGGAAGCATGGACCACTTCCCCACGATCAAAGAGGAAACTTTATTGGAAGGGAAAAGATAGCCTGGCTTTTTCATAAGTCCACTGTAAGACAGTAAAAACAGGTTGGTATTCAGAACAGCACTTGCACACCTCAGTGCTACCATTATCTTGCAATTAAATTGGCGCATTCCTGAGCTAAGAACACTGCATCCCGCGCACCCAAAGGAAAGAGGGAGGTGGACCCTGTGGGGAAGGGGAATCCACCCCAAAACCTTGTGCCAGCATGCTTCGCATCAGCTCTTCCTCCACAAAAGGCCGGCCCGAAATCTACACGTGGCTGCGTTAAAACCTCTCAGACCGTGATCCAGGCTCCGTGTTCTAGCACAAAGACAACCGATTTAGAAAAGCGACACTTTAGAAAAACAGACCTCGCGAATTCAGTGTCCCAATGAGAGGATCTGTGTGTATCTTGTCACCTCTAGTTTGCACAGAGGTGCTTATGCCCCGGACTATGAGACTCTAGGACAAGAAAACTTCAGAGCTTGGCTAGCTCTGAGATTTCTGCTCTGACATGCTATGCTTAACACGCTGAGAGGTGTGATGTGTGAAAGATGGCCTTCATGATTTTCGCATTCAAGCCAGTTTGCCAAGTTTTCCTCTGCAGTGCAGTTCTTGGGGTGATTTAGCCAATATGTACTCTATTTTCATTTTTCTTCCATGCTTATAAGACTGGGAATTTGAAAGAAGACTGTGGAACCCCATGTACGAGTCTGACGTCCGTCCTGGCCTCTGGTTACCCACCTGTCAGGACAGATTTCCCTGTGAAGTAGCTGCCTTTCTTGGATGATGAGTGGGGAGCATTTTACACCCTTTCCCGCTCCCCCAGTCCCTGGAACACAGCACATGCTCAATAAATCTGGAAAGTGTGAATACGGGCCAGCGCTTCAACATCCAATTCACAACCGCTTCTCTTGGACTCAAGGTTCCAAGAGCCTGTCGTCTTGGTGATAACCACTTACATCATGTTAACTGTTCTTCACTCTCACTTGATTCCTTCTGATGCAGCCCTGAGGTCAGCTTGCTTGTTTCTAACTCTAATGCTTGAAACTCATTTCCACTTTCAGTTTCATTCTCTCCCCTCTTCCCTCTGCATCTGAACACAGGAGTCCACTGAAGATGACCAAGAGGCAGATGTGGGAAGGCGGAGGAAGAGCTCAAAGGTTCAAAGACAGCGAAGAAAGAGACAGGTAGGAAAGGACTGGAAACTGAGTGTGTGGGCAGTGCATGGACAGGTCAGTGACCTGCAGTCCCTGCACCTTCAGGGGGCACAGAATCTGTCGACAGGGGTGAGCATCCCTCATGGGGGTCCCACCGTCTGGAGCTCTAGGGTCTGTGACACAGGGGTAGAAAGGCAGGGCCAGTGTGCAGGCTCCTGGTGAGGAGCCTTGGGATGTGGTCCCTGGGGAGTGGAGCACTGGTGTGTGCAGCCCTGGGGTTTGGGACCTGGGGTGTGGACCCTGGAGTGTGGGCCCTGGGGATGTAAGACCTGGAGTGTGGAGCCCTGGGGTGTGGGTCCTGGGGTGTGGACCCTGGGGTGTGGGCCCCGGTGATATAAGACCTGGAGTGTGGAGCCCTGGGGTGTGGGCCCTGGGGTGTGGAGCCCTGGGGTGTGGGCCTTGGGGTGTGGAGCCCTGGGGTGTGGGCCTTGGGGTGTGGGCCCTGGATATGTGAGCCCTGGAGTGTGGAACCCTGGGGTGTGGGCCCTGGGGTGTGGACCCTGGGGTGTGGGCCCTGGGGTGTGGACCCTGGAGTGTGGAGCCCTGGGGTGTGGGCCCTGGGGTGTGGGCC